TGTAGTATAATAAACTTATGGTGTTACGGGCATTGCTAGTTTTCACATTTGCAAATCAGGCATGACTTGACATGTTCGAAACAACATTAACGACACTTCAAGAAATTAGTATGGAGAAGATATATGATGAAAATAGAAAAAAGAGATTATGCAGAGAGTTCCCTCAAATAATGCAACAGGTAAGAATAATGATTTATCAAGTATTTGGTAGTTGAATAATTTGTGTTGTGTTTCTAACTTTGTTTTATTTTGGAGAATATGGTAGTTTTATGTGTCTTGAAGGTGGTGTATGTTTGTCAAACATGGGGAAGCCAATCTCATATGAAAAAACAGTAGCTTGGAAAGTGTTGGATGATGAAAAGAATGCTCATTGCGTATGCTTTATGTTTGTCAACTGATCTTTTCTATGAACTTTGGGTTGACTTAAAGAAACAAAAAAAAAAAAAAAATAGAAATCTTTGTTTAATTTGTTCCTTTTAGCGTGTAAAAACCATGAAAATGCTTAAATACTGTTAAAGAGGAATCAAGTGCAGCAAGTCTCTATAATTTTTTGTTCTATCATCTCATCCACTCGCTTGCTCAATCAATATTTAGTTCTTTATATATATATATATTTCGCTTACCGAGTCTCAAATTAGTTATGGTCTTGTTTGGTACATGAACTATTTTTTACATTTTGTTTTTTTTTTATATTTATGTGGATTTCAAATTAATTAACTATAAAATCAGAAAATATTAAGAGGTTATTTTTAATATATTATTTTGTATATATCATATTATAATTTTTTTCCAGTTAATAATTAACGATGATAAGAATATGCTTATATAATAACAAAACAATAAGATAATAATAATAAAATAATAATTATGGGTTAATTAATTGAAAGTTTCAAATTATTATTATTATTTATTATCATTAAAGAAAAGTTAATTAATTGAAAAATGATGATTCCAACAAGAGGAGTATATCGTAATTTTGTTAGAATCATAATGATCAAATATTATCTCTCAAATCTCATATCTTAAACAACAAAATAAACTCAATTTGAAAAGAAAAAAGGAATCTCCAATTAAGTGAAAATTATTGTTATACTCCCAATACTAATCTTCATAAGAATATATGATCATCGTAAAATAATCATATTGCTTAACTATCTTTTGAAATTTCATGTCTTAAATAACAATCATAATTAAATTGATTAAAAAAAATAAGCAAATTAATATTTTAATTTCTGAATTTTGTGTCTATTAGAAGGGATAAAGTTGTAATTGTCGTAAATAAAGTGACAAAATATAAATACTCATAGTTTAGAGTTAAAATTGTAAATAGTCAAAGTTGTGTTCCTACTATAAATACTGTTGTAAATTCTTCATTTATACTCGTTCTCATTTTTTCCAAAGAACAGAGCTGGAGTCTCTCTCTCTCTCTCTCTCTCTCTCTCTCTCTCACTCTCTCACTTTTTAGTTCACCAAACAGCAATTTTTCTTAACTAAACACACTTCGAAACTCTTCATAAAAACTGATAGGATCATGTTACAATTTAGTTGCAAAAACATATATTTTTTGTAATTCAATCCAACAGACTTTCAACTCTGTCTCCAAAACCATTTTAAGCAAACAATATCCACTTCTTAAACATAAGAAACATAATCGGAGACCCAAAAGCCAAAACCAAAAACCCATTTGGCTTACCCCGAAAACAGCTTTGAATTGCTTAAAAAAACCAAAGCTTTATGGTTTATGTAATCCAAAACCCTAACTGCCTAGCAAGGGTAAAGAATGTAACGACCCCGAAAATTTAGAATGAAATATATGTATTAAAAATGTCAAATGCGGAAGTGTAATAAAAATTTTGATTAACATCCCTTACACTAAAATAAAAAACGTGCTCAAAGTATAAAAGAACAAACTAACTAAAAGAGAAACTAGAAAATAAAAACTATAAATATAACTACAGAGTCTTTAGGCGTCCCCTTCGCCGTCTTTCTGCGGAACGGGCTCGGGAACAATGTCTTCCTGATCTGAAATGGTTAAATAAGGAATGAGCTACACCAGCCCAGTAAAGACATCACACTATCTCACCGCCACGGAGGTAAAGGTGGGTAGAAAATACAAAAAGACCAATGGAGTATAATTTATAACAAATTCTTTTATCAATAATAAAATCCTTTACTGTCCACTTACCTCGGTGAGATCCATAAAACAACATACGAAAGCAATAACATTTTCATCATCATGAAATCATATGAACTGTATAACATAATACTTACCACGCCTTTGCATTTCAATCATTACACAACATATTTTCCTCATTTACCACCCTACTAGTATCCATGGGGATCCATAGGGGTCCCGCTACCCGTGAACCCTTAACATTTATAACCTGATTCCAGAGCCGTCTCCATACCCCGTCCGGTATGGGCGCCAAAACACAGGAGGTCCTCATACCCCGTCCGGTATGAGAGACCACGTTCCCGGTAGGGTTCCCTACGGACCTGGTCCGTCCACCATCTCTCAGGATATCTAGTCAGGCTGTCCACATTATCTATTTATCAATTCACGTAACCTTTTATTCCCTTTTTTTTTCCTCAGTCACTATCATCAAATCACACACAAACATGCAAACCAGTAGTTTATGCCAAACAAGACAACACACAATATCGGGTTCTCAGTCATTCAACTCATAGTCAATAAAACAGTGATATATGCACACGAAACTATGAAATAAAAACATCAAATATCATACTGTATTTAAAACTGTAAAATAGAACAAACAACAACTGACCGACAAATACACCAGACTCGGGCTCCATTAGCGACCTTAAACAATTTCACACATCTATTGATTCATGAAATACCGTTTTATCATTTATTGAACTTTAATACCGTGATAGGAAATAGGATGAGGGGTCCTTACTTGTTTTGAGGTCTGAATACGGCTCTACAGTGCGCCTACAGGCTGTCCCTAATTTTCCCTGAATTTTTTCCAGGGAGCTGAAACGCACTACTAGTAACTGCACGTGTCCCAAAAAATCTCAAATTAGACTTAGGGCCCCTTTCGGCCAATATCGCAATTCCAGCACGGCGGCTCCGCCGCAAGCGACGGCAATTCGCCTCGGGTTGGCCATTTTCAGCCGTTTTGGCCGAATTCGGCCACACTTGCATCGGTCCCTGTGATAGAACAACCCTAGGGCCCTCGGTGGGCCGAAAAATTGTAAAAAACTGAAACTTACCGGCGGCGGTGCTCTTGGGTGCGGCGGCTCCTCCGGCGTGAGTCGCGTTTTGATGTTTGGCTCCGATCAACCTGTAGAGAAAAGAACGGTGATCACAGTGGTATAAAATTTGCATCAAACGGAGGCCGGGAAGGGCCTCATCGGAGGCAAAAACTGAGGAGGGGCACGACGGCGCCGCTGGATTTCATCTGAGTTTTCTGGCCGTTTGGCCGGTGGTTTGGCTCCGGTTTGGCCATAGGCAGACTCAGCGTCGAAAAACGAGCAAGGGGGAGAAAAATTACCTCGATCGGCAGTCAGAAATTTCCCCGGTGCGACAGCAGGTGGCGGCGGCCGGCTCCTCCGGCGAGCACTGGTCGCTAGGGTTTCTTTGGTCAGGTGTGGGTGGGGGTATTTATACTCTTCGCCTTTTAATCTTGACCGTCCATCAAGATTGAATCTGGGCCGTTCGATCGCGATTTAATTGGGATTAAATTTGGGCCGTTCATCGCGATGCAATCTGGGCCGTCCGTGCCTAATTGAATCTGGGTCGTCCGTGCCTGATTGAATCTGGGCCGTTCGTGCGCGTGAATCTGGGCCGTCTGTGCGCACGTTTGATCTGGGTCGTCCGTGTGCGCGGTAACGGATCTGGGCCGTCCGATCGTGTGCACGCGGATCGCCCCCGTGGCCCATCCCCTGGTCAGCGTGTCCTTGCCACGCGACGCGTCCTGGTTGGCCGGGGCTGCTGACGTGGCTGCTGACGTGACACAACTTTTATAAATTACGTTTTGACCCCCGGTTTCCGATTTTCTTTTCAAAAATACCCCCATAATCTAAATTTTCACTCCTTTTTTCCAAAATCAATTTCAATTAAATCCAAATAATATTTTTACCCAATTTTATTATTATTATTATCTTTATTTTCGTTAAATTAAATTAAATAAAAAAAATATCAATTAAAATTTTAATAATTACAAAATAAACTAAATAAAATAAATTAAAAATTAATAATAATAATAATAATAATGGGTGTTACAAAGAAGAAGCTTGAAGGTCGACAAGAAGGAAAAAGGAAGAAGTTGAGGTCAGGAAGAGTTGAAAATTTTGAGAATTTGGGACCATGAAAAGGTTGAGAATGAGCTGAAGACATCGAGAACTTGAAAAAAAAAACAAAAAAAAAACTGGGAAAAGGAAGCTAAAAGGCTGAGCGTATGGCTTAAGTTGCAGAAAGAGGCCGAAGGCATAGACTCCATGTAGCCATTACGAGGACCACCACAACTTCGACCAGATGTGCAGTGAGCCATTACGACTAAGGCCACTGCGATTAACGAACAGTGACGAAAAGGATGAGTGAAGCTTGAATGAACTTTTAAAAAAGAAAGAAGAAGATGCAGGTTGGAGAAGAAGAAGCTGAATGTCGTCTACCATTCTTCCATCTAATATTAAAAGTACTTTTGATTGATAATCCTATATAGAATAATTATTGTTTATGAACTCAAATGAAACATGAATTTTTTTTACCATTTCTGTAAAAGAATCTCGTTTTAAAAAATCAAATTTAGAATTAATTTAGACATTCAATAAACAAACTAAGATGAAAATATTTTGATGTTAAATTACAAGAGAACCCACCATTGAAAGAATAAATCAATAATGGCAATTCACAAGTTATAAAAAAAGTTAATAGTAAAAAAAAATATTGATTTGTCATAAAAGTGGCTGCCATGATTTGCTAGGAAAAAGAGAAGACAGTCAAAAGCAATCATATCTCATGAATTCATATTGTGGCATTAGTTTATCATTTACATTTTTACAGCACTCTATTGTATGCACTTAAGATAACATCAAACATACACCCTGCAGAACTAATATGAGAAAACCAGAACCAAAGGACCAAGAGAATTAAAGCATGGTAATTATAGTGGTGGTGAAAATTTGAGACGTGAAATAGAAAAAAGTTACCATGTATGAGGATCTTGTAATTCATTTACTTGAGATTATTTGTACTTATTTATCTAAATTTGATTAAATTAGGCAAGGTCACCTAAATAATAAATTGAGAAGTCACAATTTAAACTGATAAGATTAGACTCACAAGATCCTAGATTCGAAAAATTTCTACCACCAAGTCGTTGTTTCACGCAATATTCTGCGCAGGGTATTGGATACGAGAGCTGCCGAGGTACGAGCTGTAGGGTTGGTGGCGATGCAATGGAGAGCTAAATTCATTGCCTGTAGAATTTGATTTCGGTAAATTGATGCATGGGACGCGATCAGAGGATCCACCCATCTATCAATATGACAATCCGAATAGCAATATTGAGCCCATTCCACCAAGCTCTCATGCACACCAAACTCTCCATTATTAGGGCTCTTTCCTGTCAATAGTTCAATGAGAAGGAGGCCAAATCCATAAATATCTGTTTCTGCTGTTATGTTCTTGGTTTGTCTTGTTTCTGCAAAATAAACAAAATTGATTAAAAATAAATCAACTAAATCATTCTAAGGTAGAAATGAAGATTTTAATGTGTAAAAGGTGGCCGGAACTTTGAATTTCATACAGTAACACTAAAAAATAATATATATAGAGAGATCCAAGGGTTAAATTGAAAATTTTTTGGGATAAAATTAAGATATGAATTTGAATAATGTTTTGGAAAATTGACCCACTCAGCTTTTCCCCAAAAAAAAGCATATTCTTTTTGCTCTTCTATCTTTAGTTAATAATTTATATACATACCCAACTTCCCAAATTCTTTACATTTTTTTTTTTAATTCTACATATACAGGGCGAAATATATGTACATATTAAGTAACATCATGATTTCTTTTCCTATTTTAATAGGTCTAGATAAACTGAAGTAGATGGATTTAGTTCACCCTGTATTTATGCATATATATGTGAGACTCTCTCATTTTTAAAATAAAAAAAGAAAAAAACCAAGCCTAATAGAAGCAAACAGTATAAAAGCAGATTAAGTTTCACATGAAGCTATCATTTTTGTTGTTGTCTAAACAAGCAGCATGCAGGCTAATGATGAGACACAGAAAACCCACAATAAATTTCCATATTAACCGGCTATAATACTAATAAAAAACATGATAGTAGATATAAAGATTCATGTACCTGGGGCAATGTAGGCTGAAGAAATCCAGCTCTTTGTTTCTACAAACAGGTGACTTAATCTGAGGTGAGGTTCATCTTTTTCATCTACCATAACTTTCCCCGGCGACATGTCACCCATGACAACACCCTCCTTATGCAAAAACCTTAGAGCTTTTGCAATCCCAATTGCGATTCTCAGTCGTCTCATAAAACTTAAATTTCCGACAATGGATTCACTCAGACTTTTCCCTTCAACATGTTGATAAACCAAGTATGCGTCTTTCTCTAATCGCCGGAAAATACCAAATAATTTGATGATGTTTGGATGTTGAATCTTGCCAAGTTGTTGAATGTCAGGCGAAAAACTCATCCCATAATTCACTTCACTTAATATGTACTCCACCCCATTTCCTTCGCATAAAATCCCATTTTTATCTTCTTTTACAGATGACATGACATCCTGGATTGTTACGGATTTGGAGAGGCTGTAATCAAAAAGTTGTAATTCCCATATCCCATCTTCATTTTCCACTCTTTTGATCACCTCAAAGTTCTTTCTTCCTCGAATTTGAACCAGTCGGAGTACGGCTAAGGAAACTAGACCAAGCAGCGCTAACCCAGCAAGGAAACAAGCCAGGACGAACCACCAAACTGGTTTCTTTTTACATGCCGGCAAACTGGTTCTATCACTTCCGCAGAGATGGTTGCCGGCTACGCAACTTGGGTTAATGGCAAGAAATACACCAGTTGTTGGCAAGCTACCGTGAAAATGATTGTGAGAGATATTTACTTGAACAAGGGATTCTACTTCCCCTAAGTTGGCAGGTATTTTACCGGTTAATTCATTCTCGGACACATCAAGTTGGCCAAGAACTGGCATTTGAGAGAAACCGGGTGGGATTTCACCAGTGAGCTGGTTCTTGCTTAGGTCAAGACACACTAGCTTCTGACAAGAAGTTAACTCTTGTGGGATTTTTCCAGTGAGCTTGTTCCCGCGTAAATTTAGTTGGATTAGCTCCGGTAAGCTTCCGAAGCTTGTGGGAATACTACCTGAAAATCCATTTTCTGAGAAATCTACATTTTCGAGCTTCTCACTGCCGAAAGATTCGGGCAGGTTCCCAAGAAAGCTGTTGTTGCCTAAGTTAATCATTTCAAGAGACGGCATGCTCCACTTTTCTTCTCCAATTTTTCCATGGAGATTGTTATTGGATATGTCCAGGAAATAGACGAGTGGTAGCTTGGTGAAGTCCGGTGGTAGTTTACCAGAGAGGCGATTATTTTGGAGCCTCACTCGGCGCAAGCTTCTGCAACTGCCCAAGCTACGTGGGATTTGTCCTCGGAGAGAATTGGAGAAGAGGATGAGTTTAAAGAGTTGGCCGGACTGGCAAAGACTCCGGGGTATTTTTCCGGTGAGGCTGTTGGTGGAGAGGTCTAAGAGAGTGAAGTTGTTTTGTTTCCCAAGATTTTCTGGAATATGACCAGAGAGTTTGTTAGCCCATAGTTGTAGAACTCTAAGACGAGGCAAAGAGGTTAAGGCGCGAGGAATTTTGCCAGTCAAGTTGTTGGAGAAAAGATGAAGAATCTCCAAGTTTTGGAGTTGAATTATCTTTTCTGGGATCTCACCCGATAGAGAATTATCACTAAGGTCAAGAGAGATGAGGTTTTTCAGGCCAAAAATGGAGCTAGGAATACACCCAGTTAGCTTATTTTGGTAAAGAAAAAGGTATTGAAGCTGGGAAAGTTTGCCGAGAGAGTATGGGATTTGGCCAGAGAGATTGTTGTAAACAAGATCAAGATGATTCAACGAGGAGTTTAAATCACCTATCTCTTCTGGAATTTCACCTGAAAGATTGTTATACCCCAGGTAGATCCACTTCAAGCTTCTCATCTGGCCTATTCCCGTTGTAATCCGGCCGGTTAACTGATTTGAAGCCAGCGTCAAGTACTGCAAACTTTTGATATTAGTTATGGAGATTGGAATTTCCCCCACCAAAACGTTTCCTCCAACATCAAGAACTTGGAGACTTGAAAGTAATCCAATGTTTTGTGGGAGTTTCCCAGATAAAAAATTGTTGGAAAGATCTAAAGTCTGGAGGGTTGAGAATGGAACTACTTCTGGGATAGGACCTGTGAAATTGTTGTTGCTAAGATTGAGATGTTTAAGCAAATAGGAAGAGAAAATATCTTGAGGGATTTCGCCAAAGAACTGGTTTCCAGAGAGATCAATTGTTTGAATATATGGCAAATGGAAGACTGAAGAGGAGAGTGTGCCGGAGATGTTCTTGCTGGAGAGGTTGATTCCGGTGATGTGAGACATATTGTTGCAGGTGACGCCAGACCATTTACACATGCTTGCAAATGAGGAGTTGTTGTTCCAGGTGGAGAGGAAGCCATGTGGGTCGTGTTTGATGGAAGACTTGAAGGATAAAAGAAGTTGAAGCTCATTGCTTTCATCGCCATGCAACAAATGAAAATTGAAAGAGAAGAAGGAAAGGATAATTAGTAGTATCAGCTGCATGTTGATGAAGACGATGATCTATAACATCTTCCCGATCACCTCTCAAATTTTGAATTTTGCAGAACGAAAGATTATGGTGAAGATCAGCTAAGGATGATGATCTTTATGTCTTGTTTGCTCGGATCCCTAGCAAGCCAGCTGTTAAAAAAGGAACCATAAAAGGTTGAACTGTTAACACAGTCTTCTATATTTATACTGTATCTTGGATGTTTTTAACTTTTAAAATCATGGCATGCAAATAATTATCGTCATTTATTTAACCCATAATTTATGTCTATTTGCAAAATAAATACAAATATTTTATTCAACGTTTTAACCTTTTATCATGGATGAACTGAGAGACTGAAGAAAAAAACATGTTTTTCACTTTTATAAGTTTTATTTTAGTTTAAATATTAATCCATAATAATTTGAATTAAAACAAAATAAAAATGATTTAAAATTTGAGTAAAAATATTACTTCATTTCAAAATCAATTTAAATTATGTCTTCATTAAATGTATGAAATAATTAAAATTTTTTTAAAAATTAAATAAAAATAAAATATATTTAAAGCAGATACAACCTGATATTAGATGGCAACAATTATTAAGCTTAGGTTAAAATGGTTTGCAACAAGGTAAACGAATTACATTAAGAAGAGTACAGCACTTGAGTTCAGATTTGACCAAGATTTTGCACCAGAGAAAGTACTTAGCTAGATTCAAACAGAAGAAACCCGACATGATGAAAGGGAGGATGATCACAATTATGTATACATAGATTCCATAGGTCAGGAATAAAGCTGAAGTTTCTTCAGATTGATTTCTTTTTTCATTATCTATATTTGTTTTACTTTTAAGCTTTAAAAATTAGTGAAGTATTTATTAAATTATTAAAGATAAACAATTGCGAAATGAAAGAAGCTGTTTTAAAATTCATACGAAATTTACTTGTTTATATATAAATCGTTCTATTCGATCTTTTATATCATGCATCACTTTGATGATTATGCTACGATAAAGTCTATATCCGATGTATAGGCTCTTGCAACCATAATATATTTATTTCCTTGTTGAATGTAAAAAAAAAAATAATTGCATTTATTTCTAAAAAAAAAAACCAAAGAACTCTTAATTTCACAAAAAGAAAAAAATTTTTTATTTATTTTATACTAAATCGATCGTACGTAAAATAATTTTTTTTTTTTTTAGAGAATATTAGATATACTCAAAATTAAGAACTTCATGTTACTCCTTCTAAGAAATATGTCAAATTTAGGATATTTCTAAATATGATGACATTTTATTATTCATAATGTGTTAAATAATAATTTTAATTAAATCACGCATAACAGTATACTACACCCTCAAATTCTTTTAGGGATTTATCTAAAAAAATTTGTAATATGCTATTTTAATCAAAAATTATCTCGATAAAATTTAATAATTTTATATGAATATATTGATAAGAAAAATTCGGTCAAAATACAGTAAAGTTACTTGCTAAAATTTTTATTTTTTTTTAAAAAAAGAAAGCTTTTCTTTTAGCTACTTTTAAAAGTTTTAATTCTTTTTGTAAAAAGTTTTTTTTTTTTTGTCTTTTTATTTTCTTGAACAACTTAAACAACATATTTAATTAAGGGATGATGATGTTACTTATTTTGAAGATTTTATTAAATTAAACACGTTTTAATATTTAGACACTTTTCACGATAATACAGAAAAAACTATTCTTCGTAATTAGGAACATGAATCTTGAGTTGCTTTGGACAGGAAACAGTAACAGGTGTTGGAAAAGTCTCTGATCTTGTCGGATATTATTTGTTTTTTTTTTTTTTGACTGACCGCGAATATGTAGAGCTGTTGAATTTCTTCTTTTTTTAGGAGGTCGTGTCACGTGCATACTAATTAAATAATTAATTATATGCTTAAGGATTTTGTCTTTTTAACCTAAAACATAATTACGCTTGAATAATAATTATAATTATTTTTAAAGAATTTGACCAAGAGAAAGGGTGTGAACTAATTACATTAATAAAAGGAAAATAGTATTTTATTTTCAAACTAATTTTATATTTAATTAAAATTTTGATGATTTGATCATTAAATACACATTTTTATGTATCATTAATATTAATATTTTATAATAATATAATCTTATTAAAAAATACATGTTAACATAATATTTTAATAAAAATATATAAGACGGATGACTCGTAACTATAATTTTTAAAATTATTAAAAAGAGAGAATACTCATGATATAATATAAAATAATTATTAAAATAAAAATTTAATATCATTAAGAGATTAGGGAAATTAATTTTATAATGAATTACATTGATGAACTATAACAAAATTTTAAGGATTGAATGAAAATATAATGGGTTTATTCAAAACAACATAAATTGTAATTAATTAGTTAATTAAGTGCTGTTGTAATTAGTCATAAATGCATTTGTTATAGAAGTTGTTAAGTGCAAATGACATTGTACTTGGTATAACACTATAAAATATGTTAAGCTTTAGCAAAAATTACTTTGATATTTTTTTAAAAAAGAATACAATTTGGGACTCGTGATTATAGGGTTTTAAATATCAATTATGTAGGCTACTTTTTTTTTTTTTGTAATTGTTCATACTTATAGTTTGATAATTTAATCGTTAATATAATACTATTTATTTAAAAATATAAACTATCTGAATTTTTTAAAAATTAAATAAATAATCAGACACGTTAAAAATTATCACATTTAAAAAAGATTAAAGTTTAAAAAATTACATTATATAATATAAATTAAATTAAATTAAAAATTAGGAAAAAAAACAAAATCATGACTCAGAAAAGTTTTTGGAAAACTTATTTATATTGAAACTAATAAATAGATACTAACATGAGTTTTTTAATTAAGTAAAAATGGACTGAATAATTAATCTCGTGAATTGTCAATTAATTAAGTAAACTTTATCTATTATCTATATCCATAAATTAAGATTGATGTCTAATAATATATCATAATCCTTCAGAGATGAAAATAATTTATCAATAGTAAAGAAACTTTTTGTCAATAGATTCCATGCAGGCATATTCTCTAGATTTATTTGTAACACCTTAATTATTCTTATTATTGGAATTATTATAATTTTATTTTATTTTAATTTTTATAATTGATTTATTTAAGTAATAATATATAGTTTTAATTTAGTTTAATTTAATTTAATAGAAATAAAAATAATAATAATGATAAAAATGGGTAAAATTATTTTTGGGGTTTAATTGAAAATAATTTTATAAAAGAGGGATGAAAATTCAGATTCTGGGTTGTTTTTGAAAAGAAAATCGGAAAGCGGATGTAACGGCCCCGGAAATTTAAAATAAAATATGTGTATTGAAAAAGTCAAATGCGGAAGCGTAATAAAAATTTTGATTAAACATCCCTTACACTAAAACCAAAAACGTGCTCAAAGTATAAAAGAACAAACTAACTAAAAGAGAAACTCGAAAATAAAAGCTATAAATATGACTACGGAGCCTTCAGGCGTCCCCTTCGCCGTCTTCCTGCGGAACGGGCTCGGGAACAATGTCTTCCTGATCTGAAATGATTAAATAAGGAATGAGCTACACCAGCCCAGTAAAGATATCACACTATCTCACCGTCACGGAGGTAAAGGTGGGTAGAAAACACAAAAGGACCAATGGAGCATAGTTTACAACAACCTCGTTTATTAACATAAAAACCTTTACTATCCACTTATCTCGGTGAAATTCATAAAACAATATACGAAACCAATAACATTATCATCATCACGAAATCATAGAAACTGTATAACATAATACTTATCACGCCTTTTGCATTTCAATCATTACACAATATATTTTTCCTTATTTACCAGCCTACTAGCATCCATGGGATCCATAGGGGTCCCGCTACCCGTGAACCCTTAACACTTGTAATCAGATTTTAGGGCCGTTCCCATACCCCGTCCGGTATGAGGGTGAAATGGGCCGTCCCCATACTCCGTCCGGTATGAGCGCCAAAACACATAAGATCTCCATACCCCGTCCGGTATAAGAGACCACGATCCCGGTAGGGTTCCCTACGGACCCGGTCCGTCCACCATCTCCCAGGATATCTAGTCAGGCTGACCACATTATACAATTATCAATTCACATAACCTTTCATTCCCCTTTTCCTCAGTTAGCACCATCAATTCGCAAACAAACAAGCAAACCAGTAATTTATGCCAAACAAGACAACATACAACATCAGGTTCTCAGTCATTCAACCATAATCAATAAAACAGTGATATGTGCACACGAAACTAGAAAGAAAAC